GGAGGGGAAAGAACAGACAAAAGGCTAGAACTAGTCCAGCCAAATTGAGGCCACCGATTTTAAACTGTCACCAGCAGGCCTCCAGAGTGCTGAATGGAGCCCGTGCTGGATGCCAGGAAGGAAGGAGCATGGGGGTTGGGGGTGGGCTGGTGCAGCAGTTTGGAGGGAAAAGCAGAAGCCCATAGGAGAGTTCCAACTTCTTGCCACTCACCCCCAATCCTCAGCCTCTTTCATCATTTGTACATATTAGTGTTCCAAGGAGGTAGTCTTAACTGGGAAACTTGGAGCTAATCTCACTAGATGTTCTGGAAGCAGAAAGCACAACATGGAGAAGGGATTGTCACACATGGCACCTTCGATAGATCAGGGTGAGGGGACAGGGAAAGAATCATCCCCTCTCCCCACTGGGACCCTCTCTCTTTCCAGGCGATGCTCACAGGTGAAAACACCATGCACTCTGACCCAGTGCTCGGCTCCCTCTGCCTCCCTGGAAACATCAGCTGTCCTTCTTGACTGCTCTGTTTCTGCCAGTTTCACTCCTGTCACTCGTGTTCACTGTGTCTGCAAATATACCTCGGAGATGTAAATGTAAGGCCAATACATCAGAGCAATTAAAAGCACTGGCTCCTACTTTAAACTGGCCACTTCTCTAAGTCTTTGCTGCCTTAGCTAAGTAACAGGGCGAACAACCACATGTATCTCGTAAGATTATTGTAAACCTTAAATGAGATGATGCACACAGCAGTGTAGCACAGCTCTAGCACATGGTAAGTGCCTAACATATGGTCCATTTTCTTACTCTAAATTTCACTTCCTGCAACAGCCATTATTCTGTACTTGGATTACTGCCCAGCTGTGGCGCTGGTTTCCCTGTTTCCCTCCAGCTAATAGACCCGAGCTCCAATTTGATTATCTCACCCTTCTCTAACCTTGTAACGGGTCGCCTTTCTCTTCCCTGTGGCATCCCAAATCCACTGAGGAAGAAATTAGGGATCCATCGCTCTCAAACTTTTCTCTTCTTTCATGTTTGTGTTTTTATTATTATGCTTTTCTTTCTATCCCGCCTTCCCTGGAGAGAAACCACTGTCACAGTGATGCCCTCTGACAAGGCCTCCGTTTCTGCCCCTTGCGAGAATATAAGGAGGAAAAACTGCCCATGGCATAAAATGGAGAGGGGTTTTCTTTGGTTTCTTCATTTACATACAGGCCTCACCTTCCACTCCCAAAGGACCCTCCATACTGTGTGGCTCACTGTGCAGCTTGAAATTTTTCTCTCCATGTGAACAGCTGCCAAGCCCCAAAGCAATTCACGCCTGATCATTTGACCTCACCCTTCCTCACCTTTTTAAATCCAGAGACCTTGGTCTCCACCCATTCTTCATCCACTTGATGTTCGAATACACCCTGAGGGTCAGTATCTCAGCCCCACCCCTGAGAAACTCATCTGAAAGTTTGCCCACTAGCCACTGCCTCCACACACAATTGTTCATATTTCCCACACCTACTAAGGTCACGCATGGCCCGAACCTTGACCTCTACACCCTTAACTGCTCTCATCTTGCATAATGCACCAGAATCTCCTTAAACACTTGACTCTCTCCCAAGCTGGCCACAGTCTTTATGGCTCCCCCTCAAGTCTCTGATGGACACACTCCCTGTCCGTGAAGTCCCTTTTTGCCATTTCTCACTCAGTGTCAACGTATCTGGGGAGAAGTATTCGGCATGGTACTGCCCGGGCCTGCTAACGTCTAGTGCTGGTTTGGTCTGGTGGCCGCTCCTCTTTACATCCCTGTGGACTCTCTGACCTGCCCTCACCCATGTCTGCGCCAGGCCGTCTCCACGCTTCCCCAGCTTCCAGACCCACCCGGCTCTTCCACTGCCAGAGTCAATGTCAGGGTGGAACAGCTGGAGGGTGCACCCAGCACCCTCCACTCTCTCGCTTGCAGAACGTCTCCTTACATCCACCTAGTCGTCTCTGTCCCTTGTATCAGAGGGAACGGTGCTTCGATCCATGCTTTCAGCACTATTCTTGCTTTTCTGCACTCCCCTAACTGGCCACCCACCCTCACATGTCTTCAAGCTCTTCCCTTTGGCTCGAACACATGCGCAGTCTACCCTGGACCCCCTGAAGCTCCAGCTTCTTCCATCTCCCTCAGCCCCTTTACTACTGAACATCTAAAAAAAATATTGTAACCGTATCTTTCCACTTTACCCTGGTCATCCTTTGGTCCCATGCCCACCGCTCTTTGTTAAAATCGTGTTTTCAAACTGCAGTAAAGACACCTTGTCTTGCAACAGAATGGCCTTTCCTCAGTATTCACCTTCCTCAGAATGGCCTTTCCTCAGTATTCATCTTCGTTGCAAGTTTATAGAAATAAAACTTATAATTAAATCTTTTTATTAGAGCAATTGCTTCGCTTCTTTCCAGGACTGAACTCAATGCAGTCTTCTCCACTAATTCATATCTTCATCTTGGGTGAGATTACTTAAATCCTCTGAGCCTCAACTTACTCACTGGTAAAATTAGGGTCATAAAAATTCCTTCCTCAATGAGTTGTCATGAAACTCACATTCCATATAATTAAGTACTGTATATCAAGTTCTGATTATGATCTTGGCACTCTGATACAAGCACACACACACACACGACATTACACACATAACCTCATTTAACCCTCAAAACCACTCTGTGAGGTAAATATTATTTCTCTGTCACAGATGAAAAACTAAAATATCCTGAGCTCAACCTATATACTCAAAGTCACAAAGTCAACATTTATTGAAAACAAGATTTCAAATAAAATCCACTGGACTCCATGGCCATATTCTTAACTACCAAATTATATTGATCCCCAAACAGATGTAAGAATCAACATTTAAGGGAGTCATGCAACGTCATTTATTATTAGCTTATAATATTTTGTAGACACTGTGTTTCAGAATGTACTAAAATAAACCTGCAGGCAGAGCACTGGTGGAGGAGAGTCAACTGCCTTCCCCAGGTTTTCACACATATGTCCTTAAACTCAGTAGACAAACAACAACCACTTGGTCCCTTGTGCCTGCACAATGCAATTTACAAGCTAATGTCAGGAACCCTTAGCAGAGACTCTTGGCTCATCAGTAATCATCATCATCATTATCACAATTACAGTTACATGCACTGCACTTTAGAACAGATTTTTCATGTAAACGACGCCAATTATGTGAAGCAATAGTCCCCACTGAACGTGGGATGGAGCTAAAGTTCTGGGACAGTTTCTGTGTCCTTTGCCAACTATTTCAGTTCTCTCCCACCTGGTTGAGCAGGGGCAAGGTAAGATCACACTCCATATCTTCTACGGTTGGGCCAGGCCACATGGTGGTGAGGGAAAGTGACAGTGGTGTCACCTCTGGGCTGAAAAAGGAGATCCTCAAGAACACATCTTCACTTCACCTTGACAGCAAACAACATTCCAAATAGTGACAACTCTGCCCTCCTGACACTGACCCATTGAGGACAATGCAGCACCATCGGCTGACCACCTTAACTGTTCAGCTTGATTAAAAAATATATATTGTTCTAAGCTGCATACATCTTGCAGTTATATGTTACCACAGCATAACCAGTGTTCCTGGCAGCTGCAGGCTCACAGCACATAAATGACTTACCCAGGATGGCACAGCTAGAAAATGTCAACACTTCTTCAGACTTCATAGATGCTAGTCACTATTCCTTTCACTAGGTCCCACCTTGCCTCATAGGTTTATTGCCTCAAAAATAAAACCACAGTTTCCCAGAAGCCAAAATAGAAACATCAGTATAATCTATCTAATCTGGGTTTCATATCCTCTATTTTTTATCTAAAATAAACTATTTGTGAACTAAAGAAACTTTGATATTTTTGCTTATTTCATAACTAGGCCAAGCAGCCTCTGCTTACGTTCTTCTATTACATGAGGTTTAGAATTCTAACAGTCCCCGCCTCTAGGACAGAGAAGAGGAATTCTCACCTCAAATAACTAATGTGTTGGTCAGGTAGGAAGTAGCAATTAAGTGACAAGGACTGCAGCCCCACCCAGGGCGTGACATTGTGCGTTGACAGCTTCTCAAAGCCAGCATTGACTCTGCATGACGTCATAGGAAAGGTGGAGAAGCCAGGCATGGCCGTATAAACATGGCCCTTTCCTCTGCCTGGCCGATGCGACTGTTGTGAGCGGCCTCTGCATCGCAGCCACCTCCACCATGAAGATCGCTGGAGGTCTCCTTCTGCTCTGCCTGGTGACCTTCTTCTGCAGCAGCTCAGGTGAGGCAGGGTAGATAGTGTTCAACCATTAAGCTTGTTTTTCCAAATAACCTCTCCTGGGAGGTGAGCATCTGAGAGAAGTGTCTGGTCCTGTAGATTTAAACTGTACTGGTTTAGAGTAAAAAGCAAAGCGTATTGGCGTAGAAAAGAAACAGCCCTGGCCTGGAAGGGGAGACTCTTAGGTCCCTAAAGGAGTTGAAGGGTTTAGTGTCTTCCCATCCAAGGAACAAAGAAATGAACTGGTTTCTTTGTAAGGACACTGGAAGTTGTTAGATACTATTGGGTGCCATTCCTGTTATTGGATTCTACTCATGCCTCTGTGCAAAGACGCAGAAAGACTCGGATGGCTCCCAAATCAGTCCAAGGGGACTGAAATAAAGTCCAATTCTCCAGAGGCCACGAGGCAACAATTAGACTTTTTATATGCTTGAAAAAATGAAATAAGCTGCAAACACCTTCGACACCTTGTATTACATCCCTTCGTGTCAATTAGAAGGGGGAGAATGTCAAAGACGGTGCTTTGGGTTCTTGGCAGTGGTGACCGCAAGGCTGCCTGTTGCTATCTGACTGTAAACTATTATCAAAGCCCCACTGAGCTCCAGAAAATGTCTCACGGTCACCTAGGGAGGGAGCTCGGGAACTCTCTTGGCTAAAGCAAGGCCTTACCCAATCCATTGGCCATTTGACTTCCTCAGCAAACAGCCAGAATTTTGCATAAGGATCGGGCATGTGCTGAGACTAACTGCAGAGGAAAGAGAGTCTTAATCTATGGGACCAAATTTACGTTAATTAATGAGACTTCAAAACTTTGCTCTATTTTCAACATTTCCATCTGTATCTCTCTTTCAGAAGCTGCTAGTCTGTCTTTAACAACCGTGAGTATATTGAATTACATTTTCATTTCAGTTCCTACTGACTCGTTTAGTCAACAAATAATTACCAAATATATACGTAGGATTAAGTCAGTATGTATGGGGGATAAAAGGTGGAGGCAGATGCAGATAAAGAAATCTCCTCTGCTGTTTGAAGAAATACGACATAAATAACCATAGCCTTAGAAATAATTCCAGAGTTAAAGAAGAGATGCCTTCCAGTTGAGAGGCTGGTGAAGTCTTAATGGAGAGGACAATATGTAAGAGGTAGGACCTTGGTTAATTGTACAGGCTCTGGATTCCAATCCCAACCTCACCACTTTCTAGCTTTTAAGCCTTCATTCCTCACTCCCGTAAATAGGGGTAACAGCAGGACATACTCTATTCAGTTGTTCTGAAGATTAAACAAAATGCATGGAAGATTCAAGTTTAATACCTGGCCTAGAAATGCCCAGGAATCGTTAACTGCAGGTAGAGGTCATAAGAAAAGTGGTGCGAGTATGACTGGTATTTGTCACAGTGACACCAGTGCTAATCGAAGTAGCAGCAGCAGCAGATCTGAGCTGGAGCCTCCAGGATGGTGTTTCACTCCCTGTACAATAGAGGCCGGGGGAGGCCCAGATGGGGGCCAGGAGAAAGGCAGGACATTTCCCTTCTGTCTGTCACAGGTGGACTGCAGCATTTACAAGAGGTACCCGGTGGTGGCCATCCCTTGCCCCATCACATACATGCCTGTTTGTGGTTCTGACTACATCACCTACGGGAATGAATGCCACTTGTGTATTGAGAGCTTGTGAGTACCTCATGGGGGTGGGGGAGGCTGGGGCCAGTCCGCCACTGCAGACATCTCCTCTCCCCTCGAGCCTGCTCAGCTCCCTGATCTGTACATATTCCCACCCAGAGCAGCTGGTGGGGAGAGAAAGCCAACTGCCTCGGTCAGGCCAGGGCTGGCCACCGTGTTTGCCCACGTATGTATTCATCATAGAACTTCCAGCTCCTGTCTGTCAGCTGAGGTCCAACAGCACCACGAGTTTTCAAGTTGCTGCCCAGAGTCCAGGGTTCTGTAGAGGCAAGTCAGAGGTCACCAAAAGTGTAAGGGGATCGTTTGGGGTGGTCTCCAACTCCAAGTTCAGCTTTTGACTATTTTAAGGAGTGGAGTTCCATACAATACCTCGCTTGAAGAAAGGGTCCTAAACCCCACACTAAAAAATAATCGAGCCCGGCCGGCGTGGCTCAGCGATTGAGCATCTACCTAGGATCCAGGAGATCGCTGTTCGATTCCCGGTCAGGGCACATGCCCGGGTTGCGGCTCGGTCCCCAGTGGGGGGCGTGCAGGAGGCAGCCAGTCGATGACTGTCTCATCATTGGTGTTTCTATCTCTCTCTCCCTCTCCCTCCCTCTCTAAAATCAGTAAAAACATATTAAAAAAATAATTGAAAAACACTATCCTACATGACTTCTAAGAGGCCATAGCAGCTTGTTCTTTAGCCAAACTGGCTAGAGGGCCTTTAACTTCCTGTTTTCTAGTGGCTCTAAATACCTGTGGCCCTAAGAGGGATAGAGGGAAAAGGCCACCAGAAAGGTTCTTTCCTTTCATCTAAATAGGGGGATGCGAGCTGTCCGCACTTGGACCTGCATCCCATGGACCTGTTTTCGTTACATATTTTGTGTGCCCGCACAGCGTCCTTGAAGGCAGACAGCTAAGGAGGTGTCACTCCTTTGGTGTAGAACAGGCCACTTAGCATTTACTGTTTTCTAGCAAGTCCACCTTGCTCTTTGGTAACTCTCCCTCAGGCTACTGGATTTGGGCCACTTGCCTTCGATCTTGTCTTTTCCATCTTTGTGATTACCTCAACAAGTTACAAGATCAAGTTAGGCCCTGAGCCCAGAAGGATGTGTCTACATATTGACTCCCATGCAGGGACATTTACTTCACAGAAGGGCCGCTTCTCTAACCTGCACACCTGGGCCCGTGGCCTGGAGACTGGCTTGTATTCAGGGACACGGAGGGGACACGTGGTGGGAGCTGTCCTCACTAAAGCAGGACCAGGCTCCATCGCAGGCCCTGCTGACCAGGAAAGGCCGAAGGGCAGCCCCTTGAACTCCTCCTGGCAGAATCCCTCCTTCTTTGCTGTTTTAAGACAGTGGGTGACCAGCCTGGGCCCTGGGATCAGTGGAAGCAGCAGGTGGGGTGGAGATATCACCCAACAGGGAAACTCTGCTTCTGCCTGTCAGAAACTGCCTGTGGCGAGGACATTCCTTCTCAGAGACTCCATTACCTCACCTGCAAAACGAGGTTCTGCCTCCATGTCCCTGTGGGTCCTGTCAGCTCTACTCTTACACGAAATTTCCTCTTGTGCTAACGAATCCTGTTGACTGTGTCTTCCTGTAGGAAAAGTTATGGGAGGGTTCAGTTTCTTCACGAAGGAAGGTGTTAACTCCTCCCATACGTGGATGCGGAGCCATGATGTTCTCAGCGTTGTCTTCATCGTCCCTGGGCTCTGACGACCTTCCCCTCATCACCGCAGAGGCTTGGGGGGAGGGACAGATGTGGGGTCATCATTGTCGAGCGGAGAGAGTTGTTGTGCTTCCCTTCAAACTCATGCCTGACTGACCTGCTGGCTTCTTTTTGCACCTCATTAAAAGAATCTCCCAGAGAGTTTACCTTTACTTCTGTTTGTATTTGTTTCTTAGATCAGGGTGCAAAGTTGGTTGTTCAAGAGACAGTTTTGTACAAGGAATCCCCCAAGTGGCTTCCAAGAAACAAATGCACACACACAAATTCACACATGATCACATATACATGGAATGGAGTTTGGTTCAGTTAAAGCTCAAACTCTAGAGGGGGAGATAAACATGGATTAGAAAACAATTATACACCCTAATAAATGCTGGGATATAAGTCTATAGGAGGTATCATATTGGAGCAATCTTTCTGTAGCGTAAGTCTGATTCTATTACTTCCCTGTTCAAGATCCTTCCTCTGTTACCCACTGCCTGCAGGATAAAATCCAGACTCCTGAGCACGGTGTTACCCACCCAGCCTCCCCTTCTGCTGTCCTCCCTGAAGGATGCTCACTCTGACACTCTGCGTCTGTATGTGCACAGTCTCCTCTGCTGGGGATGGCCTTAACCTTTCTGGTTTCAGCTTAAGTGCATCCCTCCGGTGAGCCTGCTCTGAGCTTGGTTTGGCAGAGACATGGCTGAGGAGTCAGGGGTTGATTTGAAAACTAGTTCTGTCACATGCAAGCTGTGGAACTTTGGGTGGGTACCTAAACCCCATGCTTGGCGTATGGGGCTATTGTTGTGATGATTAATTAACACAAAGCACCCTGCATGTCACAGATACACACAATAAATATTAGCGCCTTTGCCTGACTACTCACCATTTGCTCACCTGTTGTTTCATAGCATTTTGTATGTAATACTACTTATTATTACATTGTACTTACATTGTACTGAATAGTTGGTGAGTGTGTTCCCCCTACCCCTATCAGATTGTAAGTTCTTTGAGGGCAGGACCATACATCTTTACGTACCTAGTGATTAATCTAAGGCTTGACTCGTGGTTAGAATTTCATAAACATTACCAAATTGCTATGGGGCCATAGAGGAAGGGGAGTCTATGAGTTATAATTCATCTGAGTATGTGTGGGTTGGGTAGGGGACAGGTGATTCCAGGTAAACAGAAAAGCAAGTACAAAGGCACAGAACTCTACAAATGCATGGGAATTAATGACTGAACATAAGTTCTCAATTTGTAAAAATATATATTGAACACAAACCATGCTCTCATCTGAAATCAAACTCAATCTCAGCTGCCAACTTGCTCCCTAGCAGCATGCCCCATCTCAGGAGACAGCACCACCGTTCAGCAGTTGCTCCAACCAAAAGCACGAGATCTTCTCTTTCTCTAACTCCATGTCGAATCTATTAGCGGTCCGCTAGCTCCACTGTTAAGATATCTGCACAGTTTAATCACTTTCCACCACTTTCAAATCTCCCACCTTAGTTAAAGTCTCCACAGTCTTGCACCTGGACCACTGCAAAACCCTCCAGATTAGAGCTTTGGGAGACATCAATAATTCCCTGGCAAAAGGGATAGACATAAGACACTGAATTTGATATTTTTGGATATATAATGAGCAAAGACGCAGTAACTAACTGGAAATGTTTAATGAGAGAGAGGAAGGTAGTTAATGGCATATAGTTATGCATGCAGTGGTCAGATTTCTAGTTTCTGGCTTGATAACCAGGTGGGTATTGGGGCAAATTCTTCATGTTGAGAGAGTCTTACATATTAAAAACTTAATTTGTTTGCAATGTTAGAGTCACTTTTAGTTGTGAGAGCTTCCTTATGAATATCTCTTAGGAAAAAATATAGATAGAGGCTATTCTCACATTCAATAGAAGAATCACCTCTTGCCCGGCCGGGCATGGCTCAGTGGTTGAGCGTCAGCCTAGGATCCAGGCGATCGGGGTTCGATTCCCGGTCAGGGCACATGCCTGGGTTGTGGGCTCGATCAATGACTCTCTCATCATTGATGTTTCTATCTCTCTCTCTCCCTCTCCTTTCCTCTCTCTGAAATCAATAAAGATATATTAAAAAAGAAAAAAAAAAGAATCACCTCTGAATGGTTCCTCCAACAGGGTGCTTAAATCGACAAGGTTCTCATTACCTTTAGTCACTATCAAACATCTCTGATCATGGCAAAGTTCCTTTTTCTATCATGCCAAGAGTTACTATTTCCAGTAAGGATACAAAGATACATCATTTGCTTATTTTAAGATGGTTCTGAAGTGCTTTCTGAATGTTTTCTTCTCCAGATTACTGTCGCCATCGTCATCTTCATTATCATGGTAATTGTCATTAAATACTAATATTTGTCGAGAGCTTACTATGTGCCAGACCCTAAATAAGTGCTTTACATATACAATCTTATTTAAAGCTCACAACAAGCTTGCCCTGGCTGGTTTTGCTCAGTGGTTAGAGTGTCAGCCTGTGGGCTGAAGGGTCCCAGGTTCAATTCCTGCCAAGGGCGCTGTATCTCCATTGCAGGCTCGATCTTCATTCTGGACGTGTGCGGGAGGCAACCAATCAGTGTGTCTCTCTCACATCAATGTTCCTCTCTCTCTCCCTTTCACTGTCTCTGGAAAAGCAATGGAAAAAATATCCTCTGGTAAGGATTAAAAACAAAACAAAACAAAACACCTCACAACAAGCTTATGGTGATGGTGTAATTATTAACTTTATTCTGTAAGCTTGCTAAAGAAAAATTATTTTGCACTGTTAAAATGGTAAGGAAGACATTATTCAAAATATAGTCTTAAATACCCTTACTGCAATACCCCTATCACCACAGAGGAGAGAGATCGGGCGCACCTCCAAATACAAATGGGGATTCATTTCCAAGGAGCAGGATGAGGGGGTTGGTAGGTAGAAAATTACTAACGGGAGGTATTAAGGATGGAAGGATTCTTGCTAAACTAGACTAACAGAATTTTTGCTAAAGGCAGGCCATGGGTTTATACATTACAGATGAGGGATGAAGAACCTGATCAGACATCAAGGGCAATCAAATATCAGTGGTATGGGGATTACTTAGCAGGCTTCTGCGCTAAGAGATGGCTGAGCAGGCCAAAGACATGAGATGCAAGGCGAGGCTGGAGGCAATGTCAAGACCTATTCGAGAGAGGACTCAGAGGAGCATAACTGAAGTTTGGTCAAGGACAGTCTTTGTGGAGCTATGATGAGGACAGTGGCCAAGTTTCTCATTAATTATGGTATGTTCAAGTTGTAATACAGTCTCCAAGACAGAGTAAATGTTCATCAGTAGTTACTCAATGATCAAATGAAGGTAAACTAAGGCTTCTTAACAATAAAATAACTTGTACAAGGTCATGCAGGGAATGGTAGACCTGGCAATGGATTCATGTCTGAAGACTCTTAGGGTTTCAGCTCTCGGTAATATTCTGACGCCTGCCTCTGCCCCCAACCCCCGGCTGTCCCAACACTGGTTCCAGTCGTCTTCATCCGTTTCAAGGGAAGCAAATGTGAATGTTAGTCTCCCAGCCTTTGAACATATAGTGTCTTCCAATTCTATCTACCAAAACTGCAGGCGCTGCTTCCAAGAACTACTCATAGTCACTCTATTTGAAAACTGACACATTCTAGCATGTGTCCTTGTAGCCTTTATCAAAGCTTTTAGATGAAGCATAGTTTGAAGAATACACAATTAAACACATTTAAACCATGGACAAAGGATTGGTGGCTTGTCTATAAAAAGTTATTTTATTAGCAGAAGATGTCACTGGCCATGTATGTAACTATGGCCCAGGACAAGGTTAACATCTTACCCTTGAACCATCAGTCTGCGTTTGGGGACTAAAGAATCAAGGCCAAAGCCTCAGGGACAATCCAACTACTGCAGCCACTAGATCCATCCTTGGTTAAGATGGTACAGAGCTTGTTGTTGTTGGGCCTTGAGGTGGCTTCCGCCAGGGATCTAGCAGGTAAATGTGATGCGAGTACTCACCGGCTCCAATCATTGTACCAGCTCCCCAGATTTGGGGCTCATGGGAAAATTATCTCCCTGCTGAAGAGTATGAATCATTGCTTGTTTCTGATTAGCCAAGACTTGGGTGTCGATATCTTTTCTCTGTGCCCAGTCTGGTGTCTCAATTGGCAACATTTTCCATTGATGCTAGAGAAGGAAGGAGAAAAGGGTAGAACCTGGGCATATTTCAACCCCCATAAAACTGCCACGCTGATGACTGTTTCTGGCAACAGTAGTACAACAACCTGCAGTAAAACCAATGAAATAACTTCCTCGTAACTTCCCTTCCTCGGCTGTAGAGCAAAGAAAATGGTAATAACCATCGACAAACTTGTTATGAAAATCTAATTGTGTAACGTGTGAAAGCACCCAAACTTTTAAAGACATAAAGAGGTACGGAAATACATGCCAGCTTTATCGAGTCCTATTATCTATTAGAAATTCACGTACATTCATGTCTTTCACAATAAAGGAGCTTCTATTCCCAGCAGAGGTTTCTAACCTCTTTCCGGGACTCTGATTCCTGCAAATAGCTGTTTCACAATTGAAGCAGGAACACTTGACATTATATAAGGCAGCACCCAAGTGAGCTGGGCAGACCCCAGAAAGTCACTTCTTTTACCTCCATCTGACTGCCCTTGGCCTCTTTAGCAGCATGAGAGTGACAGCCTTTGTCCTGCTCTTGGTCCTGGCACTTATCCGTGAGTATCTCCCTCATACACTTCCCCTGCCTTGATACTGATAGCTTGTGTCATCTTCTGCCCATTTAATTCTGAGGCATACACATCACACAGATAATAGGGGAAGCTTCTAGAAAGGCTTTTTTTTTTTTTTTCTCCACCAATGAATCCCTAAATCATATCATCTCAGGCACCAGGTGGACGATTTTAAATGGTCAACGGAGGCCAAGCTCTTATCCATACACTTTGTGTAACCTCTTTGGAAAGTGTTCATCCAGACTCTGCTCTTTGATATCATTATTTATAGGAACTAATTTCTTCATAAAGTAGGCCGATGCATTGTTGGGCAGCATGAACTGTTACTTTCCTTCCAGTATTAAGACCTGACTCCCTAGATTTTGCAACCCCTGCCATCTCTGCCTGCTACGGAAGACCAGATATTCCCAAATACACAAATCTCTTGTATCTTTTATTGTTTCCTAAGCTCTGGTTATGAGGTAGGAAAGAATAAGACAGACTCCTCGTCATTGTAGTAGCTTTTCCACCCTTTTGGCTACACTCTAATCCTGCTCCAAAACAAAAACCTGTTCTGTGCGTCAGCCTTTGATATGCTGATGCAAAAGTTCTGGAGAGAATCGTATGCTTTTAATGACAGGTTGAGAAAGCTGAAACATAAATCAAAGATACTCTTCTAATAAATTTAAGTTCTTCCAGAGATTAATTGTTTCTTGTACTTGTTTTTCTTGCAGAGGTAGACTGTGCCCGAC